CCCCCCCCCCCCCCCCCCCCCCCGAAGAAACCCAACAAAAAGGAGCAAATAGCTTCATTGCTGTATTTGGAACAGTAGACCCTCTAAAAACCTTGTCTGTGAATTTAAGAGGGAGAGGGTTGGGATGTGATGCCACTGTGCTAAACAAAATTTCACATAAAAATATTATATTCTCTATGCATGGAACGTAGTAGGCACAAACTATTCAGATTTTTTTTCTTTAAAAAGTATGTACTTTACAATTTATAGTTAATATAATTGAGAAACTGGTGGCAACTGAAGGTGTATATGATAACATCTTTTTTATTATGCACATTTTTAAACTTTGTGCAAGAGGTGTGGGCATCTAGCCTATTGACAGTTGGTTTGGTTTCCCAAAAATTTAAATTAGAAACATTAAATGCTGCAGTGAAGATCCCTGGCATTCAATATGCATGACTTTTCTAGTAGATGAAGCGTATTTGGTCCTTGTTTTCCCTGAGAGTACAAAACTTTTTAACAGTGTAGCTTCTCTCTCAAATTCTGTGGTGGTTTAGGTCTGCGTAGGAAACGCAGGTGACAACAGTGGGTCAAAACAGTTACCTTGTAAACTGTATTGGATGTAAACTTGGCTGGATATTCTCCACAGTATATTGCACAGTATTGTTCAAAGCCATGTACAGTATTGTGTGTTTGTGTGGTAGAAGGGGAGGAAAAGAAGTTTTTTGCTTGATGTCCTCTTGCTCAGTGACTGCAGACCAAATTACAGATATGTCTCATTTGATGTGAGTCTGAGTCAGGACAAAAGTTTTTTACTGACTAATACAGTTACTTACTAATATGGTTAGAAAATAGGGGTGTCTGCTGGGTCCAGATTGATTGTAGTTTGTTAAGAGTGCTTGTGTGTGAGTGATATAGCTGACTGTGTGAGAGAATGATCTGCTAAGGAGCTAGGTCTGCATTCATGTCTTAACACAGGTACGCCTAAAATGAGACTGATTCAGGCTAAAGGTCTCGAAAGCCAAGCAGTCAGTAGGAGCTGGGAGCCTGCAAACAGGAGAGTTCCTGTGGTCAGTAGGAAAAACTGAAATATCTGTGCATAAATGCTAGGCAACAGATGCCATGACAGAGGAGTGTAAAGTACTGGCTGCAGATGTGAAACTGAGTTTAGAGAGAGCAGAAATATGATAGGATGGCAGATATGTTTGGAATTTGGGTATAGGAGCATATGCCTATTCAGGAATTATAAAAATGAAAGCGAAATGGTGAAATAGCACCATATAGTAATTAAATGATAAGAAGAAAGGAAAGAAGAAAGGACAGCACAGATTGAAAATAATTTCGTTGGAATAAAATAATTCTAGAGGAAGAGAAAGCTAGTAAATGAATTCTACTGTGGTAATCTAGGAATTTAAATCCCTGAGTTCGAGTTTAGGTGTGTAATTCATTAGAGAGAATTACTACTAAGAACTGTGTCATTGCAGAGACTTATTTTCCAGTTTATAGCTGGGAAATGAAAGTTAGTATAAACATTTCTGTATGTTCTGCATGAAAGGTTTCTTCATCAACTAGTCACTGAAGCAGAAAGTCTGGATACCAGCTTTGTTAAGTGAGGGCATTATTAGAGATGTGGGTGTCAAAAATAATGTTGAGTATTCGTAAACAGAGTTCTTTAGTTCTGTGGAGCCAAAAGAGAGCAAACAAATACAACTACTTTAATAAAACAAGGTGAACTGTGGAGCCCAGAGAGTGAATGGAAAGAAAGGCCTGGACATTATTTAAAATAATAGAATTAAGAGGAATCTCTGCCCTTACAAGGGAAAATTTGAGATGTAGTGCCCAGGCTATCTGAGTGAATAAGTACCTTTGCAGTTAAAGGTGGTAGAGTCTGCAAGCACTGGGGAATGGGGAAGCAAATTCACAGAGAATGCTATGTAGGAATAGAAATAAAACTCTAAAGATGTCAAGCTGAATTGGACTTTGCAATGATTGTTAAATGATAAAAGTTCTTAGGACTTTTTTTTCTTTTTCTGTAAGAAGGCAAGACCTGTGTACAGTGAAGACATGCTTGAGAGTAAGGATGATTTGAGTGAGGTCCCCAAACTAAAGAAATACTGTGCTTCTGTTTTCAATAAGGATAATGAAAACAAAAATAGGCTGGGTAACAGAAATGAATTTATGGAAACAGAAGTGATCATAGAGGGGTAAAAATGTGAATTTGCAAGCTTATAGTGTACACACTGATGTAATCAGTGAAAGATTACAGTGAAATACTGAAAGAGCTGGTACATAAAATCCTTTGTCAAAAAGATCTTTTATGCAAATCTACCAAGTCAAAGGTGGAGCGATAATGCTTACGTTTAGGAGTAAGAATGTCATGCATTGATGCTGGCCAGCACCCAAGCACCTAGGCCTCCCTCATTCCCACCAGTGGAACAGGGGAGAGAATAGCAATAGCAAAAGTGAGAAAACTCATGGGTCAAAATGAAGACAGTTTAACAACTGAAAGAAAAACGAAGGAGAACAAGCGATGCAAAGGCAATCACTTGCTGCATCCCATAAGCAGACCACTGTCCAGACAGTCTCCAAGCAGCAGCCACCTTGGAAGTAAAATGCCTTGGAAGTAACCCCAGAGTCCTTCTACCCTAGTTTTTATTGCTAAGCATGAGGTTATACAGTATGGAATATTGCTTTGGTCAGTTTGGATCAACTGTCCCAGCTGTGTCCTCTCCCAGCTCTTGGCCCAACCCTGGCTTACCACTGAGGTGGGATGTGGGGGCAGAGTGGGAAAAGAGAAAGGCTTGACACTGTTCAAGCTCTCTTCAGCACTAAAATATTAGTGTGTTATCAGTGCTGTTTTAGCCACAAATTCAGCGCACAGCACCATGCAGGATGCTGTGAAGAAAACTAACTCCATCCCAGCCAGAGCCTGTGCAAAGATGAAGGAGAAAGGATCTTGGCAATGCAGACCTATTTGTCTTGACACAGTGGCATATGAGGATTTAGAAAGATCTTTGAAGGAATAGATAAAGATGTGGAGTTAAATGAAAAAGGGG